GGGTGGGAAGGGATAGACTGGGGTTTCAAAAACTGTAGAATAGATAAACAAGATTACACTGTATAGCACAGGGAAATATACACAAAATGTTATGATAAATCACAGAGAAAAAAATGTGACAATGAGTGTGTATATGTCCATGAATGACTGAAAAATTGTGCTGAACACTGGAATTTGACACAACACTGTAAAATGATTATGAATCAATAAAAAATGTTAAAAAAAATTATCCCCCTGATGTTGTGGGTTCGTTAGCTGTTGACTCAGATACGATAAATCTGATTAAGAAAAAAATTGTAAGGGTGTAGCATATAACATAGGTCACTTAAAGTAGCCAAATAAGATTAAATTACCTTTGGTCTAATATAAATAAATCTTTTTAAAATTATAAGTGATAAAACATGATCCTAAATCTAAGGCTTTCATTAGTTTATTTACAATAATGCAATATAATGTACAGCTAAAATTATGTTATTTATAAAATTAGAGATATGATAAAAGATGAAAGATGTGGCATTCCTAAGCATACTGATGTGTGCATAATCGTCTCTAGTATTTGCTTTTTAGGAATAGTTAAATAAGGATTATGAAATAATTCTGTTAATTAAACATGAATCCAGAAATTATTCTATTAATTTTTCTGGACACCATCATTGTATTTCCTATGCGCTTAGCAAAAAGAAAAAGTTATCTAATGCTAAAAAGTAATCCATTGTTCCAGCCACTAAAATATGATTTTGTTTTGGTAATAGGAGGCAGAAAATATCAAACATTCCAAAAGTAGAAATAAGATGAAGATGGTGTGGTAGGCAGAATTCTAGAATGTCCCCCAAGATTCCTGTCCTGGTGTACCTTCTATCATCTCTTGAGTATAGGTGGGGCCTGTGAATATGATGGGATAGCTATTCCACTGATTACGTTAAATTCTATAAGCCTGTTTTAGCTGACTGGTGAGAGTCTCTTTCTGGCTTTGAAGAAGCTCCTATGTTTTGACAGTGCTTATGAGAGGGCCACCACGGAATTGAAGGGGCCTCTAGGGTCAGAGAGTGGACCCAGTTGACAGCCAGCAAGAAAGCTGGGACCTCAGTCCTACAACCAAGCTAAATTCTGGCAACCATTAGTGAGCTAGAAGAGGATTCCCATCCTTAGATGAGATTAGACCCCCAGACTATACCTTGACTGCAGCCTCTGGGAACCTGAGTAGTGGATCCAGTGAAACCCTGCCAGGACTCCTGATCTGTGGAAACTGCAATAATATATATATATATTGCTTTGAGCTTCTAAATTAGTGGTTCACAGTATAAGCAGATAGGGTAGGGGGTCTTTGGAGAAGGAGGACTAGGCATGGCTTTTTTGACATAAGAGAAGTCATTTTTGAAGCGGGGAGGGTATAGCTTAGTGGTAGAGCACATGTTTAGCATGCACAAGGTCCTAGGTTCAATTCCCAG